CCAATACAATCCACCTCTTCTCACATACAGCTAGAAGAAAACCTATGGAGTGCAACATACTATATAGTGGAATAGTATAGGGACAACCATGGGAGACTGTACTAGTGTATACTCTTCGCAAGTAAATAAGAGAAGTGTAACTAGGACAGGCAAAAAATACAGGCACAGTCCCAAAATTTGCATCAGGTTAATGAAGTCCTAGATGTATAGTGTGGCTAAGGTATGTCAGACAGTACATGGTGGATTAACACTAGTCCCAAACCAGGCAGCACCAGGAATTTATCTTCCAGGCCATGGTACAAGGAGGGTCTCTACCATCTTCACCTCAAGCCCATTACGGCAAAATGGGAATGTAACATCTGAACTGCAATGTTGTCAACCCCTAACAAGTGCCACTCCCACCTTCTATACTTGTCGTCGAGCTTTACAAGGGACATCTTCTTACTTGATACGTGTTTGTAGTCAATAGAAACATCTCATTTTACACTATAATCCAACAATGGTAATTTTGAAATTGGTGCCAAGTTGTCGTCATTGGATAGATGTGACTACCTGTAGTATTGTTGGCTGCTTTGTTCACGATAGCACTTTGGTTGTTTCTTATCTAAATACGTTATAGCTCGAGAGACAGTTAAATTGTATTTATGTTTTATATTTATATTTTAGCTAATTATGCATTCTTTGTGTTTGAAAATTCATATTTCAAAGGTTTAATAATTTCTATAAAATAACCAAGGCTTACATTACCAAACAAGTAAAATACGATTATGCTGAAGGCTAAAGTATCTCTGCCTTTCCTTACTGTTCTATCACCCGTTGATAAGTGTGGACATAAATAATAAACAGTAAAGAAGTGAAAAGGAAAATTAAACAATTAATGAAAAGATAAAAACGTGAAATTATGCATATGACCCAAAGATATTTGAAAACTATTCTACAGAGGTAAGTACATATTTCCATTTCTTTATTTTAAACATTTCATTGCATTGTATGTTGATGATAACAGCTAGAATTAGTGATATAGTAGAGAAAATGGGAAATAAAATATAAACAGTTACCTTAAAAAAAAGACTTTTGATATTCATTTA